TTGAACCGCTGACCTGCTGATCTAGCAGTAGCCTGCAGTGCTGCATTTAACCACTGCGCCACCTTGGCTCTAGAATGGTCAGGAGGGTCACCAATATGGGCCATGAACTTTGGCAGAGCTGGATATCCAACCTTTTCTTTTGCTTAGAGGGGAGAAGAACATTTTGGAGAAAAGGTTCCAGCTTTAAAGACCTGGCTTCCTTTCAGAAGGCCCCATTATTTTTGAAGCCCACTTTGGATCCAACAGGATGGTCCTCAACCAACTGACTTCCTCGGATTACAGTGAGAACTAAAAAAAAAAGAAACGTTCTAGAAAATACCAGAAATCTGCTTCTTTTCTTAGCCAAGAAAACTCATGGATGAAGTCACCAAGATTTAACATCAAATCAAAGGCACCTTAGGTTCACCTTGGATATAAAGTAGGGGAGAAACCTGCATTTTTGTGTCTCCTGGGTCAATCAAGCATAAAAAATACTCTGTAAATATTAGTCCATCTCTATGCTCTTGTTTGAGGCTGAAGGGCGTGCTTCTTCATTTGGTCAGCTAGTGGCCAAGTCCTAAGAAGATCAGGAGAAAGGTCCTCCCATATTTTTCTTGTGATCTTCTCCGAAACTAAGATTAGATCTCAACTTCTCAACTTGTTTCCTGACCTCTGAGTAAGAAGTCAAGATTGGGTCTCATTCTCTCACTCTAGTTAAGAGTTGAGTTAACTGATGACTCTCAAACATTACAAACCTGGATTTTATGAGCATGACCATCCCAAAAGATGGTCAAAAAGACCTGATGGCTTTCCAGTATCCTAACCATAAGCTCTTAGGATGGTAAGCTAAAAATAGAGAAGGAGAGGGGGGGACTCAAAAGGAAGCCCTCCTAGTCCTTCAAATAGAAAGGCCCATAGTTTGAAGAACCTCAGATTCTTACTTGAAGATCTACCTCAGCTATCTCAGAAAGATTGGATTGCTTTTGTTCCTCTCTCTCCCCCCCTCTCTCCTTCATTTTGACACACTCTTTTTCTCCCTTTCTCTCCAAACCCTGACCTCTATTTTCTGAAGCTCAAAGCAGAAACATTCAGAAGCATTCTCATCTACGATGAGGTCCATATTTTGAAGAACCTCAGATTCTGACTTGAAGATCTACCTCAGCTCTCTCAAAAAGAATGGATTGCTTTTGTTCCCCCCTCTTTGTCTCTCCCTCCCTCCCATTCTTCCCCCTCCACCCCTCTCTCCCTCCCTTTGACACTCTCTTTTTCTCCCTTTCTCTCCAAACCCTGACCTCTATCTTCTGAAACTCAAGATGAAGCCTTCCAACTCCTTCAAATACAATGCCAGAAGCTGGTTCTGAAAGTGGAAACACTCAAAAGCATCCTAGCCTCTGATGAGA